AACTTAATTTTTAATCAAATATATTGTTTGAAAATAACTAATCATACTGAAAACGGAAGTTTGAAAAACAAGAATGAAAAATTTTTAGAAAATTCAGTGCATGGTTTCACGCATAACAGGCAATAAAATACCATATAGCTACTACCGTATTTTCGGAAAATAAAATCCTGAAGAATGCCTACCATCCAACATGGTGTTCCACTATTTGAATCAATCACTGTACCATTGATGAGATTTGCATGAATTAAATGTGGGAAATAAAAATTCGAAGGTATTTTATGTTCATTACACATATCCAACACTGTTTTATCATCATTGATACGGTATGACTGTTCACGCTTAATTTGGTTACCTGTAACAAATTATGGAATTAGTTAAAACTAAAGTATAATATGTATTGGTGATTATTTCAGACAACATAATTTTTTTACAGTAGCTAAAAACAAACTTTTTACGAGAAAATAACTGTATGCTTTACAAAAATAAAGTATCTTTTACGGTAAATAAAAATGTATTGATAGCAAGTCATAAAACTTTATCTACAAGTAGAAATTGAGAGCTCAGCAAAATTTTGATCAAAATTTTGATCGAAATACTCAAAGTCATTGTGATTTCCATTAATTAAACATGATCATATGAGCAAATGAACCGATACTTTGTACTTAAATCTTTGTGGAGCAATTTAAAATAAAAAATGTTTATATTTATATGAATTAATACACAAAATTTCAATAAAATATAATTTCTTAACGACTGAACATCATATTTTAGTACTGTAATTAAGGATTACAGTAATCCATTAACGGTGAAAGTATCAAAAATGCTTTATAAAAATGGCTTAAAAAATTCAGAAAAGACTAAATATTGAAATAGAAAATACATGTAAAACCTTACGATATCTTTGATTTTTATCCATTTTAGCAAGGTACCAATATTCTCCAAATGCTTCTCGATAATGTATTCCATCACCGTAATTTTCAGTAACAAAAGTCATATTAATGAATACTCGTCCATCGGTACTATTTATGACCGCTATTCCATGACCTCTAAATTCCATCAATTATTGAATTAATTAATTCAAGTTAGTCATACTAATGACTGATACCGAAATAATAAATAATTTTGTTTAATTAGACTATTTTCTACATTTGTTACGACAATCTTTAATACTATCATTGGCATAATTATTATCTTTATTGTAATAATAATAATTATTATTATTACGGTAATCAAGACTTGTCAAAAGTGCTTTATTACTATTACTGCACTTATTATATGTTTATTTACTTTGTGTTTAAAAAATTGGGAATTAATTCAAGAAGTGAATTTAAAAATTCTACAAACAATATGGGCAAGTATTTTTTACTTTATTTAGTTATTTGTTCAGATCAAAACAATATATTATCCCCTTTTAGTGATCAGTAAAAATAATTTTCAATCAGTTATTACCGATTCTTTGTAATAGTTGAGTTTGCGATAACAATCGGTCCATCGGATTGTTTAATATAAATCCCATCACCAGCACTATTCTCAATCCGAAGGCCGTTAATAATAGGTGAAATGCCTTCAATCCAAATTGCTGCTGATGTATTCCTCGTTGACCTTCAGTAAATACTTATAATAAAATGACAATAATATATTTATGCTAATTACTATACTGACCTTTCCTTGATTCAAAATATTACTGAGATCGTTTAACCTTTTATTCTTTTGCACAAATTGTCCATCAAATATTTGTTTACAAACAAACTGTAAATATAGCTTTTACTTCAAACTGTTGAAGATAATTAGAGCTTTAAAAAAAGTAATCATCAAACCCGTCATATCCTGCATACAATATATCCACATATTCTAGCTTACTGTTCGATTCTCGGTGCAGGGATATCATATCAGAATTCGTATTTGCATATCGTACAGATGATGATATAATTCGTAAGCCTATGATTACAAATTATACTTTGCTATCAGGATAATTCATTTTTTTTAAAAAAGTTTTTATAATAAATATTTTTTAAAATATAAATCCCATTACCAGCACTATTCTTAATCCGAAGGATGAACTTTGAATCAATGAATTTTGAAAATTTCACTAATAAATGAAATAATGTAAATATATAAAAGTAATATTTCGCATTAAGAAATAAAGCTTTAATAAAATGATTAATTTATACAAAAATATTCAAAAGAAATAAAGCTTTAATAAAATGATTAATTTATACAGAAATACTCAAAAAACAAAATTGTAATGTATAATTAGATCGCAAAAGATAAAATACTATATCCCAGTAATTAAGAAACTATATTTTCATTATTTTAATTAATCAAGTTGATTAAATTTTCGTTGTTACTATTATTATATGATATCATTATTGATGTAAATGAGTGAAAATATAAATAACCTTTCCAATGTTTCTCATAAGCAGAAAAGTTTTTAATTCCCCAACATTGAATGCCGATGTCATCTTCACCTTGGCAAAGATTCTCACTTAACTGTATTGAATTTGCATCACGCAACCCTTCACAATCCCACAAGGAATTTGCGTTTGCGTGACAGCCAGGTTTCGGCATGACAAATGGATACGTGTTATTATCACGTCGATACCATTTCCAAAAACCTAAAATATATCAAAAATCTCACACCTAAAATATGCAAAATTACATTGCCAATATCAATTGTTCTCAACTCTTTGTATTATTCTTATTAATTACTTTCATGGTTTTAATTATTGCTACCATTGTTGGCACTAACAATAGAATTACCATCGGTATACTTATCAATACAACCATGAAAATGAAGATTCCTACGAAACCAATCTTTTATATTATTTTGAAGACATTTCTTCGAATAAAAATTAGAATATTTTAGACATTTTACAAAATTCAATTTCATTTGCACATACTGCTTTAAAAAATCTAGACTGCTTTCCCACCAAAATATATGTGAAAAGTTTAAAGATGAGGATATTAACATAATTAAAATATGAAACTTTTACCTCCGTCAGCAAATTCCATTGAACGACATGCTGTGCTTATGTCTGTTGATGTCCAACTGTAAAATAGAGCTAATTTTTAAATTTTTTTCAGAAAATCAAATAAATAGTTACAATTTTTCAAAAATTTGGATCAAAAAATCGCATTTTTATTAGTAAAATTTTTATCAAAAAGTTAAAATTCTTATATTATTTCTATTGATTATAA